TACCGAAGAATGCTTCCTTATTAAAGTCTGCAAAGTCACGTCGTTATACAACATCATGTATGACAGTTGAGATGCTACACTCATAAATCCCCCCCTTCCACCCCTCCCCATAAAGCCTCGGGCCTCCAGTCTTTACGACGCAGCGCTCTGGAATGACAAACCTGAAACTTCTCATCGTCTTTATCACTTTATTTCTAACTCCGTGTATTGATAAAGTGTCACGGTTCATGGAAAAAGCCTGACCCTTGTATGTGCAGTATGTAGCAGCTCCACCCTTGAGCCCCCATGCACTTTGAGGCCTCACCGACTGACACTGATATCTGTCAATGTATGCCTCAGGGGGAAGCTGCTGAGCAGGTTTCTTCCATTCAGTGAAGAGTCATAGCACCCTCCTGTGGAAGGGAGGATAATGATGCCCCCCCAAACTCCCCAAACTCCTAACTTGCAGAATTTCCATAATCATTTTAAAGTTGTTTCTCGCATCTATCTTCCACCTTCCGTGTGATTGTTGTCACTGGTAATTCTCGCCTGTCCCGTGCATTCCCCAAAAGTGTAACCAAAGTGATATAAAAGAGGCTTGTGATAGATACAGTCATGAATGCTGAGAGAAAGGAGGGAGGGGAGGAGATGGGAGTGAGGGTGAGATGCAGTGGGGTGAGGTGGGGGAGGAGAGGGGCTCAGAGCATCAAGCTGTTGTATTAATCTGCAAATTTCCTCAGATGACGCAAAGACTGTGACTTCGCCTCCCATCCCCTCTTCGTCTTCATCATCTCCACGTCCCTGCTCTGCGTGTCTCTCCCGATGCCTCGCTCTTGTCGGAAGGGAGACAGCGACAGACAGCAGGTAAGCTCGTCCGTCTCCTTGTTGTCATTTTTTTATATTCTCCTCTCCAATCATTCACGCCTCGCGCACATGCGCTAAATTTGTATCATTTGTGACTATTCAGTGTTTAATTCCAGACACATTAATGGTTTGTTTCATCTTTTTTTGTGCAAAGATTGTGAATGTTTTGGGCTTTTATTTCATTAAAGACATTGGCTTGGGTGATTTTTCAGTTTTTCAACATGTGGGCCCTGTCATGTTTTATCAGATGTGAGTAAGAGGAAGAAAGATCAGAGAGGGATCAGAGAGGGATCAAAGCTGGAATAAGAAGTTTCCAAAAAGGTCTGGTGGCCAAATGAGAAGATGGATTTACTGTATGAAGGGAATGAGCTGTGTTAAATGTAGTCCTGCTGGAGGCGATAGAGAAATTGCGGCGACAGATCAAAAAAGGAAAAGACAGGAGAAGGAAGGAGAGCGAGAGGAGAAAAAGGGAGTTTATAAACTGCAGAGCTTTACTGGGGTGAAGAGAGCAGATGTGATAGACAGTCTGTGCTTAAGGAGTTCAAACAACAGATTAATGCACTCAGATTATCGTCCGTGAGAGAGGAGGGGAGGGGGTGCGTGTCTGTGTGTTGACATGTGTTCGCACACGCACATGCAGACAACACCACACACACAAGAACTCAAGTCTTTTCTCTCATTTTCACTCTACCTATTCTCACATCTTAGCAAAATAACGCTGCCACATTTATTGTTTGTATCTTCTGAGACGTTGGGATTTTCTTCTTGTTATTGTATATGTAACGCTGTCCAACAGATAGGCCTGAGACATAAAGTGTTAGTTGTTGATGTCAGCTTGTCACATCCTTGACTTCCTTTGAATTAACCTCAGGACACTTCTGAAATATTATCCAGAGCCTGCTCCTGACATGCCTAATTTCATTCTACTGGTGATCTTCAGCTTGTGTGAACTGACAGGAAATGCAAGTGAGATATCTTTGTGCACTAGAAGCCATTGGATTAGACAGCATTTATCAAATCCAAATTCGGTGCTGAATCTGATTATCTGGTATCAAAAGTTTCCTGTTATTCACTGTCAAACAGTCAAGAGGCAGCATCTAGACCCATGTGCGCTCACGTGTGTGTGTGTGTACAGACCTGATGTGGTCGACACTGACCTTCACTGACTGTAACCCCGCTGCTTTTGCGATCTGGTAAACTCATACACCAGGCATGTGTTTGAAGGCAGTTGTGCATATGTTGAAGGAGTTTGGCAGCGCTCTGCTTTGAAGTGCACGGACACTCGTGCTGTGTATCTGTCATCGCTGATATCTAGAATATGGGTGTCTGTAGGGAGAGAAGGCCGTTACGGCGTTTTTGCGGTGCAGCATGTGCGCGTTATCTCTTGTCTTTGAGTGTAACTGTTATTGTGCAGCTTTACAATTATGTGTTAGCAGCAGAAGCAGGCAATCTTATCCCACCACGGTTAATGTTTGAAAGCAGCAATCAAATGTGAATTACAGCTCAGTTCATGTTTTGCAAGGTAAAATTAGATCTTTGCAATACAAATGACCACCTGATGTTTTGTTAAACGACTTTCAAGGTTTTTTAAGGCTCAAAATTGGCCTTTGGCAGATGGCCGAATCTGGTTCTGCCTCAAGTTTCTTACTATTAAAAGGGCAGCCTTCCTCGACAGCATTGCCAAGTGTTGTTCAAGGGAGTGTGTCTCATCTTTGAACCTTTCAACATAAAAGACTACAGTTGTTATAAACTGGTGTTATAACAAATTAAATTGTAGTCAATTGAAACAGTCTCAAAGTTTATATAGTTAAGACAATACTCAGATATTTCTGTGCATTTTCCTATTTTTTCTTTCTGTTTAATGAACAAAAATGTATTTATGCTCAAATAAATGTAACCCAACTTAAAAGAAAAATGCTGAGTGTATTTTTAATACAGTTCTGGTGATTTTCTGTCGTGGAACGCCATCATGGTCACAAACTCAAAGGAGAAAGAAGATTTGAAAAGGTCTTTGAAACTTTGAGCTAAAATGTATGTTTAGGAATGTTGAAAAGTAATCAGCAGTTTCCATTTATCCTGATGACCCAGAGGTGAAATGATGAGTTAATTATTTATGAGCTTAAAACAAATTTGAACCTTTATAGTCATTTTAAGTGAGAGACAGATTGTAAGATGATGTCATCTTCTCAAATCTGTGACTTTGCTGTTTTTTTCCATTTATGTAGCAGGAAGACTTCATGTTATTTGGTTGATTTTCTGTCAGACGATCATTGATTAATGCAAAAAAGCCAAAAACATTCGCCAGCTACAACAGTACAACACATTCATTTTTGTGATATTGCATAATGGTGCTAACAGGATAACACACCCAGATCTTTTCATTTATTAGATATGCGATGGCAGTTGTGTGTTGTGTAGTTTATTGTGTTTGCTGCAGTGGCCATCCTCATCTCCCTCTGCTGAACAAGGGTGGTGGAGGGGCGGGATGGGGATTATATCTCGATCCGTTTGCAAGGCTCACACCAAACAATCAACCATTGGACATAATCCTCTGACACACCCGTACACACCCGGAGTTACACACACATACACACACATGCACGCACAGATGGTTCCTTAAAATAAAATGCAGCGTATATTTGTAACATCCACACACAGAAAATCTTTACGTGGATACACTATTTGAATGCGAATGTTTGTCAGTTTGAATGCGAACCTTGATTGAAAGAACAAAATAATTATTGATGGGAATTTAGTCTGTGTAGAAAGCACCAGTGAATCAGGTGATTTAGCAGGAGACGCGTACCTTTGATCGGTTTACATGCCGTCACACAGTGATCCCATCTGGATGCAGAAGTTCTCTTATAGTTCATGTTCGTTGCATTAAAAAGTTGAGCCTCTCCTACAGTTTATATATCAAAGTTGCGTAGAAGCGAAGGTGACATTCTCACATTTACTCACTTAAAAACCAAGAGAAGTTCACTTTACAACAATAGTTTGCGTGACTACAACAACTTTATCATGTCAAATGGCCAAATCGATTATTCACGGTCCTTTGTTGCTCACTTCAGATTTTAAAATGTACATTTTTGTTGTGTATATCTAGTGGCAGCCATGTTTGTATGCTGATTTTTAGAAGAAATCAAAAAGCTTGTACGCGGTGAACGTTAAGCTCGGGGAGTTAGAGCTGCATCTGTTTGATCTCTTGGATCAACGTCTGTGATCGAACGGTCGGATTATTTATGTGGAAGACTATGGGTGGAAATGAGGAGGGGGGTTGACGAGCCTGCGACAGAAACTGAGGTAGTTCTCTCGAGCTGTACGCGCACCTTTTTATCTACAGCTGCTTGGGCTCATTTACAGTAATCAGAGCTCGCTCTTTGGGGAGATTAACTCATTCTGGCGTGGTGACCCGTCGCCCTGGAAGCCATGACGATTAAGAAGATGTGTCGTAAGTGCATGACCGCATGTGAAGACCGATTGTGATGGTTGTCACGCGCTGCGCAGGTCATCATCACACATCAGATGGATGACCGCAGTGTTTACGCTGAGGGAACTCATGTTTATCCAGTCGCCATTACTCTGAAAGTCACTGTGGGAGGTTTTCTGTCTGGTGTCTGTATTTCGCAAAGAGGGCATGTAAACAGCAATGCTATCACTACTGTACCAGCAGGGTTTAGTGCTTCTTTTATTTTTTTATTTCTGCTCTGGCTTCACTCGCTTTGAAGTCCCTCTTCCTTTACCGCTGTGTTTCAGCACTTATCACTAACATGTGTTTCCAGAGCTCTTGCAAAGATTTAAAGTTGTTCTCTCTTCAAAGGAATATGCGCCCCTGTCTGCAGCCTACCTGGCAGACTGGTAATACCTGTGTCATGTTGCTCTGAAATCCTGGATTACTGTAAGCTGGCTGACCAAACTGAATTCACTGACTTGAATTCTTGCATTTTATTCGTGATGTAACAGAAATTCCATGTGGTGCATGGCCTTCGCTCTGTATTCTGTTTAGGGCTTTTCAGGCAAGACTTTAGAAAGTTAAGGAGTCAAATTTAATCTTCCCAAACTGTAAATGGTCTCAGTTTTCCTCTGTTGAAAAGCAGCAGGTCAGCCCAACAAGAGTTGCTTCCTAGAGGCCAGATACATTTTGTCTTGAGGCAGCGCTGACATTTCCTGGAGCAGGAAATCTCTCTGTTGGGGAAGGAAGACAGATTTGCAGCACCGCATCAGGTCCTTGAGGATGTCTTTGCAGCTTACACTCATCACTGCTGCTCTCATCTCAGGATACATGCTGTTGATTAGTTGTTTCAAGGTCTCTTATCAGGAAAGGAGAGGATGAGAGATATTGTTATTCTCATAGTATTAGTCTTTTTCACATTCAGCAGGATTTTTGGTTTTTCTTGTCTGTTTAAAAAGTAAACTTTACTCATTCATTTTCTTCGCAGTAGCCCCTTTTGTAGGCTGGTCACATCTCAGTTTGAAACTTTTACTTTTTTGGGCTCAATTTTTTCCACCTACTGTGGTCATTTAAATCCGCACAAGGAGCGGACAGTTGTCGTAAACACTGATGAAAAGGTGAGAGACGTCTTTCTCTTATTCTCATTCGCATACGCAAGCAAATTGCATGTGGTCAGCTGACATTACCAAACAATGTTCATGCTAAGAATGGCATAAGGATTGAAAAGAGGATTTGTGAAGACTATTAAGAGGAACACCCTCCCCCTCCTCTCCTCGGTACTCCATTCACCGAGGATTATATCTCTGCAATTGAAACTTGGCTGGGCGTTCTCCGGCCCTGATACGCACCAGTTTGGGATAACTCTGGAAATCCAAATTGGTGCTTGGACTGGACACAGTCACAGACTAGAAAGGGGCAGAGATATGGCCAGAGGGAGCAGGAGGTGAGAGCGTGGAAGTGAGCACATAAAGCAGTAGGTATCTTTTTACACATCCTCCCTTGTGTATTGTTCTTTTGGTTAATGTATACGACTGTATGCCATCTGCTCAAATTGATGGATTATAATGATGTCTGATTGCAGCTATCTCATTGAATCAGACTCTCATTGAGTCGGACTGTTTGTAAATGTGACGCTCATACTTGTGACAGGGATTTGGCACGACCGCGCTGCTCTCCAGATGTGTTTATGTACAATTAATGTTGAGAGATGGTAGCGGTGGGGTCTCTGAAATTTTCTTGGTAGACTGGAAACGCGTCGTGTTATTGGACAGCAAACACATTCTTCCTCCATGACTCATTGTTTTGATGGAAATAACTCTGCTTTATATCTATATCTATATATCTATATCTATCTATCTATAGAGTTAGATAGATAGATAGATAGATAGATAGATAGATAGATAGATAGATAGATAGATAGATAGATAGATAGATAGATAGATAGATAGATAGATTGGTTGATTGATTGATTGATTGATTGATTGATTGATTGATTGACTGCGGGGTTTCAGAAACAAATTAAGACATACAGCTCTGTTATCACTTCCAACAGGAATGAAAACAGAAAACTAAAC